CAAGATGCCTCCCAAGAAAGTCCTGGCAATCTACCTGCCAAGCCCATGGGCACCACCACTGCCAGGGGTCAGCTCCACGCACCCAGTCTATTTCTTTAGAGAGCTGGGCAGCCCCTAAAATAGTCAGTCCCTCCCCACCCCCACCCCTAGCCTCTGGCAGCCCCTCGCCTTTCTCTCTTTTTGAAGCATATTTAGGGATTTATTTATTTCTTCTGACCTTTGCCCTAGGAGCCCTGGTGGTGCAGTGGCCCCGTGTTGGGCTGCGATCCACAAGGTCGGTAGTTCGAAACCACCAGTGGTTCTGCAGGAGCAAGGCAAGCTTTCTACTCCTATAAGACTCAGGGTGGTCTCGGGAAACCCACCAGGGCAGTTCTACCTGTCCCATGGGGTTGCTGTGAGTCCGCATGGACTTGGTGGCTGTGGGTATGGTTTTCGACATTTTCCTAATGCCTTATGCCGTTTGACCTGTTGACCGTGGCTTCCGTGAACACTGACTGCGGATCCAAGCAAGATGGACCCTGCCACCTCCCACCGTGTCTCTGGTCATCGCGGTGTCTGCGGCTGCTGGCCCCGCTGTGAGGATTGTTACTTTCTCCACCTTGAGTTCCAACGCAACCTAAAGCCCGCCGTCCTTGGCCTTCGTCAGCGAGGGCTCAAGTCCCCCGCACTTTCAGGGTCAGGAGGAGCCCCCCTCCATCCTGAATGCTTCTTCATAAGTCCAGCTTATGTGTAGCATTCAATCAAATGTAATGGGGGGAGTGAGGGTAAGGGGCCAGCCCCCACCCGCTGCTACTAGTAATAATACTACCCCACGGGTTCAGTAAGCACAATTGTACGGTTGAGAGATATATATATTATATTGAAGTCATCGAGAGCATGAGAGATAGTACAATGATGCAGTCAGACACATTACATGGCAACATTGCTCACCTTAGCCCAGCTTAGCGGTCCACGTGGAGAGAGGGGGAAGGGAAGGAGGGCAAGGGAACAAGGGGAGAGGACGGGAGAGGAGAGGAGGAAGAGAGGTCCAAGAGAGAGGTCCGAGAGTCAGAGCGTTCTATATTGCTGACCCACGCCTATATACCTTT